GCGCCAGAAATGCCAGAAACGATGTCAAGCTATACAGTAAAACATAGATCCCTCGTCCTGCGTGGACACTCGCCCAGAAGCTTCTGGTCCGTGAACCATGGCAGGCCTGCAGAGTCTCCTGCTTCACCATCTTACCTCAGAAGCGATAGAATCAGCGCATCTCTCTGACTCTGGCGCTGCTCCACAGCATCCCAAATTCGGCGTGCACATCCTCTCGTGCCAGAGGCAGCTCCCGGCATGGGGACAAGAGCGTCGGTGTGAGTGAACATGGGGGCGGTTGTGGGTGTGTGGATGTCCGAAACACATGTACAGGTCCGTCTGTGTGTCTGTCTGCCTGCCTAGCTGGCTGTCCGTCCGTCTATCTGTCTCTGTGTGTCAGTCAGTCCTGTCTGTCAATCTCTCTGTCTGTGGGTGGGCGGGCGGGGGCGCAACTTCACTTCACGGATGTTTACAGGGTTCCTCTTCATTGGATGGGACACGCGATGTGAACTTGCCCCAAAATGCATGCGTGGTCCGTCCCCCCTTTGACAGAGCTCTGCGCTTCAACTCGGGCAGCGCCGCTGCGGCGATGCACTGTCCCACGGCCTCGGCAGAGCATTGCGTTCCGACCTCCGCAGCTCGCGGCGCCTTGCCGCCTTGCCTTGAAGTGGTCGTCGGCCGTGTGGAACCTCGCAGGTCTGCTTCATCTTCCCGGCTGCACCGACCACCGTGGCTCTCTGTGCAGGCAAGGCGCTGGATGTGAGAGAATTGTGGGAACTCTTCCTGAAGGACCTTCTTGGCAGTGTCCAGCATGATGTCTCCACCCTGCGAGCATCTGCGACAGCAATCTGTATCTCGGGTCTTGCCGAAACACAAGAGCTCCAAGACGGGTGGCACCTTGCCCTTGCTGACCCGTCCCAAGATCATGACATGATCGATCTTGTAGAACTCACTGTACCTCTTGCAGAAAATGGGTTCAAGGTCAGCCCACGGGCCTCTTAGAGCAGCGGCACTGTGCCAGAGCGTAGCCCAGGTAAACACCCACGGTCTCGTAGATCTTCCGGACCTTCAGAGACACGCTTCTGCGCAGCATGCGGGTTGCTTGAGAGTCGCTTTTTATGCCCACTAGATGCATGGGATCTTCACACTCATGCTCTCATGCTGCACATGCACTTTCGTTGCGCCAACCTCAGGCTCCTTGTCCGTCTTCATTGCTTCCTGGATCCTTGAGGCACCAGGATCCACGCATCGGAATGAATTGGTCGAAGGTCTGTGGTCTCGGTCTCAGGCAGCTTGAGGCACTGCGCGTGATTCTCGTGCTTGATGGTAACCATGTCGGCATGCGGGTACCTGGACTTTGCGACCACCAGCTGTGAGCCCTGCCATCTGCTCGAATCCGAGGCCAGAACTTGTAATTGGCAGGCACCTCGACGCCGCCCTTGGCCGCCAACTTCGTGGTGCCACGCTGTCCCAGGTACATGTGGCTCAGGCCCCTGAAGAAGAGGAGCACGGAATGCATCGAGGTTCAAGGGAGGAAGGCCACGGCGCCTGTGTGCTCCCTTGGACCAGGGATCTGTGGGGGCCTGGCCAAGAAGTTGAGAACGGGGGAAGGCGGCAGCGTCAGGTCCATTCTCGGCCTTCGGGTTGAGGTCCAGACGGCAGTAGCAAAGCCTGAGCAGGCCCATGCAAAACACGCACTTGGGAATAGCACAAGCTGCATCTGTAGCTTTTGGCTGTGCGGAGTCTAGCCGAGAATATGAGAATAGAAATCTCGGAAGCAACGGGGATCCGCACTCGCTGATCCAGCCCATAAGGTTCCCGTCTGCATTGGCATAGCCTTGAACCAACCAGAACCAAAATCATAAAAGACTTTGAAGTGTGGGGCCTGTGATGTGCCTTCAAACTCGGTGGAATCTCTGAGGCCGCGCACCGGCACCCTCGCTACTTCCCATGGAGATGCCCATCACCTGCATGTGTGCTTCCAAATACCCCGCAACAGCAAACCAGCATGCTCATCGAAATCTCCTCCAGCACTGCTACGCATGCTCTCAACAGGGGCCCAGGCATTGCCAGCTTTGATCTTCTGCACTGCGGCCAGGGCCGTGACCTGGGCAAGCACTCAGCCGTTCAGCCAGGTACCAGGGCGGCAGCGCCTGCCCCTCTTCGCCCATTTAAGGCCCTTGGCCTCTCCATCGTTGATGACCTTCAGCGGCACGTCTCCAGCGATCTCCTTACCCAATCGCACGAAGATGTCTACCTCAGTGGTCCACGTGTTGCACTGCCCAAGGCGCCGAGAGCCCTCTGAGCCGACGACCACTTTGGCCTTGTACACATCCGGTGGGACGTTCGGGAAAATGTCGCACCAGGTCGCCTCGGGAAAGGCCGCACGGCATCTGCGGCGAATGTCCGCGAATGAGCTTTCGCCCCACCTCATTGTGGGCCGACACGGTCCCTGTTGCGCTGCCACCAATGGCGTCGACCTGCAAGCAGCCGATTGCGCCGAAAGCCACGGGGGGTTGAAGGAGGGGCCTTGGGTAGCGTCTCCTTGGCCAGCTTCAACGCCGCGAGGATCCTCTTCACGCATGCAGGCACAGGTACGAGTCTCAGCCTCATCACAGTTATTTTAGGCCCTCTTTGCAGCAGAGGGACGCATCGTAGTGGTACTGGGGATCCGGGTTGGTCACATCCTCGCACGCAGACTTCTGAACTTCGCTGCGACCCCTTCTCGGTCAGCTGAGGCGCGGGCCCACTCCGTCTCCTTCGAGTACACGACATCGTTGTCCTTCACAGCCACCGTCTTGATGTCACCTGTGTGCACCAGTGGACGGTTGACGCTGGCCCTCCATGCTTACCAAAGTAACCCCAAAAGAGGAACCCCCCTCTTTCGCCCAGCTGCTCTTGCCCAGATCAAAGGCAAGGCGGCAACCACTGGCGTCCTTGCCGCAAACCTGTCAACACAGCAGAAAGCATCGAGCTTCGCTGAAATACGGGTTTGCAAGAGCCTGAGGTGTGTCGAATGCAGCGGGCAGATCGGACTCGCTTTCCGCGATTTTTACCTCACCGTCACCGAGAACCATCTGCTGCTGACGAGCTCATGCTCAAACAAGTCCAGCCTCGAAAGGCTTGTCCGGTGTGCCGCAGACCTGTGCTCGGGTGCTTTGTCAACGGAAGATCCGATCTTTCAGAAGGCACAGCAGCAGCCGAGCTGCATTGGGCATGGACTTCACCTCGAATTCGTAAGCTCCTGCCGGCGGGATCAACCTTGCAAGCTACAGCCATTCCCAGAAACCTGCGGCCTCCAACCGAGTAGCACTTCTGCAAGAACTGGCCTGTCACCAGTCAGTTGGCACTGACATGTACAAGTACAGAGAACTAGTGAATATTGCAGATAATGAAACCGGAAGCCAAGGCACAGATCTTGGGGGGCCCGTGAAGGATCAGGCTCGAGGCCTCAGAGAAGCTCGGGAGATCTCGTTGGGAAACTGAAGTCCAAGTCTTGGAAGCGTTCTACGTCGGGTCAAGGATGTGCTGAGCTGGGGTCACTTCGCTGCCAGATCATCTCCTCCACTCACTCGAGCTTAACTTAGCTGCCGGGGCCCTGCGGGCTGAGAGTTGCAAAGCTCCTGGATGAGGACACCCGCGAGGTAGGCCGAAGCTCGGGAGTCCCTGCGCTTGACAACGCACAGAGCAATCAGAACAACCAAACAGAGCAAACTGAGCGGGGCCTGTTGGTCTCCGGGAAGACGGGCAGAGAGTAGCGCGCACAGCCCTCCTCGCGCGGCAGGGCCCAGGTGATCTTGTCGGTGCACTCCTGCAGACTTCGCAAAGTGCGAAGGAGTTCAGATGCCCGGGAATGCACGACCCGGCATGCAGTCCTTGGTCGCCTCCAGGTACTTCTGCTTGGCAAGAATCAAGGGGCAAAAGCCTGCAGAAAAAGAAACCCTGCGACTGCTCACTGACTCTGCCCGACCCTGCCTGGGTCCAGGGGAGCCTTGACCTGAAAGAAGGCTGAAAGAAGGCTGAAAGAAAGCTGAATTAAAGGCTACAGGCCGGCCTTGGCCTTCACAAGGAGGTACTTCTTTGCCATCGGTGGCATGATAGCACCAAAAGGGGCCTGGAGAAGCAGCTCAAGCTCAAGCTGTGACAACAAATCCCGCTGCGAGAATCGGCAAGCTCCATTCTCTTTCGAGAGGTCAGCTCTTCCGCTCTTCCACCCTGCCTTGGATCCCTCCTGGCAGGAATCAGGCGAGAAGGACCCTCCCTCCTCCCTCCTCCCTCTTACCTCCATGTGCGCAGGCAGATCGCATCGAATAATCGTTTTCTGCAGTTCTACATCTCCACAACAATACGGTAAAGTGATCTAACAAGCGATCTATGCACTCTGAAGCAAGGCCCTGCTGCGAGCTGTTTTTGCGGTCCTTCTCCTTGAGCGGCACAATCGCCTTGGAACGGAGACGGTCCGCACCGAGCCACTCGTCGTACTGCTTGTCGTAGCCGATGAAGTTAACCTCCGCAGGGCAACTGCTGAGAACTGCGGACTTCCTGTTGGGCGTCATCAACCACAGTCGGTTCGGGCCAGGGTTGATAGATTGGGACGATCACCATGAAGTTTACGACAGGACGAAGACGATGGTCGCGGAGTGGTCTTGTGACGACGGCCCCCCGGCTCGGCCTTGACAGGAGTCCCCTTCTTCTTCAGATTCACGGCCACGACCTCAACTCAAGGCGACGCGTCGAAGTCTCGCCGCTTCAAGGGGCAAGATTGCCGTTTGTTCCAAGCCACTTCCGCCGCCCAGTACTTTCCCTCGGCCTGGGAAAAAACCACGGACTTTCTCATTTTCTTCTTTTCTCCCCGCTCCGAGGGACACGGGCAAGCGGGTGGAAAAGCTGAGGGAGGCGCTTCGGCCTGAAGGCGCATGCCTTTCCTCGGGACGGGACGGGAGACGCCTGTGACTTCTGTGCGCAGAGCTGACAAACTCCTTCGCATGTTTAGTTGGTAGACATCTTCCCCCACCAAAAAACAACAACGAATCACAGCTCAAGTGTCATGCGAAGGACTGTCAACCTGCAAACTGCCTAGGAAGCCAATTCGGACAAGTTGCTTCACTGCCGAGTAGTCCATGGGTTTCGGCTTTGGGGCCGCCTTAGCCTTGGCCTGTGCGGAACTAAACAGGAGCTCATTTTGCCAGAGCCGTGTGAATGCCTGCTCATTGAAGGCTCTTTCAAGTGCCTTGGCTTTAGGAGCTGTCTTCTTCTCGGTCGCCTTGGCGGGTTTGGCAGCCGTGTCCTTCGGCAAAGCCTGCGGGAGAAACACGGAGACAGCTTTGGGACGCTCGGAACTCGGAGAAGGGCAAGAAGGGCAAGGCACCTTGGACTTCAGCATATCCACGGACACCCAGGCATCGGCCTCCTCGCCGTAGGCAGTGTAGTGCACCTGACTCGACAGAGAGAAAGGGAAGGCGCTTCCGCCTTCCGCTTCTTCTTTGGGAGCGATGTTCCCTTCGCCGCCTTCACAGGAGCCTTCTTCTTCTTTGGGTTGATACTGGCGACGGTGGCCGGATAGTATTCACCTAGGACTAGGACTTCCAGCTTCGATCTCCCAATTATCATACAACATGAAACCAAGCCGCCATCCTCCTTGTACATCGCATGCAGCCTCATGCCGACTTCGAGGTACTCCACCATCGTGTTCCTGTGAGCATGAGGGGTGTGGGTGTGTGTGTGTGTGAGCCTTTTGACTGCAGAAGGTACAGCCCAGGCACGGTCACAGTATCGTTCCCGGGGTCAAACTGTGTCTGCCTCACGCTCCCACTCCCAGAAGCCGTGACGCCGTCTATGAACCACTTTTGCTGCGCTACGGTAACTCTTGGACTCTAGGTCTGAGATCTCGTCCAGTCTGCAGCCGCTGGGGTTGCTAGAGCTTGAACCGTCACGGCGGAAACAAAAGAGTCACGAGAGAGATGAACGAGGACATGCGACTGATAGGACTGCTCGGCACTCTGCTAGCTGGGTCTCCTGCACCCCCTGGCAGAAGGTTGGGACGGGATCCTCCGAGAGGCTCGGAAAGGGCATGAGCAACGGACAAGGGCGGAAGTGTCTCTTCTGTGTCCTGGAACTCGTGCGGGTGAACGCCCCCAAAGCTCCGGTCCAGCAGATTGTTGTAGACATCATCTGCAGATGCCAAGTTCCAAAAGGGCTGAGTCAGCGGCATCCGCCCGGCCCGCCCTCTTGCCTGCGTTCACATCCGAGACCTTCGAGGCCAAGGCTTGGCCAGCTGCGAGGGGCCAAATCAGCCTGCGCCAAGCCGGCAAGCAAGTGTTCTGGTCCAAGAGCTCACAAGATCTCACACGCCTCTTCAGGCCATCGGGCACGCCCTTTCGCACGGAGTAGAGGAAGTCCGGCAGCAGATCCTAGAGTGGCACCAGCTACACAAAGCTTGGACAGCTTTGTTACTGTCCTCAGGGAGGCCCTTGCAGGTCTGCAAGAAAGTCACTGCCGAATCCTGAAAAGGCACAAGACGCTTTCTTCGACTGATCCTCGCAAGCATCAATCGCGCAGTACTTATGTGCTCGGTGGTCATGGTCATGGAACTTCTGCTCAGGCATCGGCCGACCAATGCAAAGCCTGTGCCTGAACGCCAGAAGAAGTGCAGACAGCGCCTATCCGCCAAAGCCGTCCGTTTCTTGGCTTGGAGGTCGAGGAACCTCCATGAGATCCGCATCTGTCACTTGGCTCAAGGCATCTTGGTCCACCTGAGGACTTAGGAGTGGCCATGTTATCCTCTGGAGGCTCATGAAAGCCGAGGCACCAGGTCACCCACGCCCTCCCGGCTCCCTCTGTAAGGCACGAAGGAGCCGCCGACCTCTGCTGTCGGCGTGGCTCCAAAGTTAACCCTCCAAAGTTAACCTGGCATCATCTGAGCCCGGCGCTGCCTCAGAGAAGTCCCGGCGCGGGGCCTCGCAGAGAAAACCAAACAGGGCTTGAGCTTCTCAGCTTTTCTCCGAATCAGAGGCCCGTGCACAAGGCAGAAGCGCCACCAAGCGCCGCCAGAGTCTCCGTTGCTGCGAGGCTGCCTGGAAAGGAACTTCGGAGGGCGCCGGGCCAACCTGCGCAGCTCTCCTCAGCAGACTCTGCGCCTCAAGCTGCTGCTTCAGGTCGTCCTGCTGCACCGCCGTGTACCTACCCACGCCCCCAACAAAGACCAACGCCCCCCACCACCCCGAAGGGGCGCGCATGGAGCTCCGCCGCCGGGCCGTCTTGAACTTGTCGAAACGCTTCGCCAAAGCCTGCAACGCTAGACCGGTCCAGGACAGCTGTACATCTCCACGACCATAACCTGTAGACTCAGCCTTTTAGCCCTTGCACGAAGTATCCGTGGGGTGGTGTTGCCCAGCATAAAACGAACGCGCACAGTGACAATCAACTCGTGGCCGTCTTTGATGCGCCTGTTGTTTCTGTGCCACCCTCACGGCCTCGGCCCACTTCGTCACCAATTCTGGGGAGGCCGGTGTCAACTGCCACCTGAGACACCCACACAAAGACACACACACACACACACACAATCCTTCTCTCCCTCACTCCTTCTATTAAATTACACGAGCCCAATGTCATTGCCCAATGTTTGCACCTAATGATATGATGCATTTATGAATGCTCTGATGCCGAATGACTGGACAAATCGGCTCGACGTCACAACAGAACGTGATTGATCCTGGTTGCTTTACTAGTTTGTACCGTTGAATTTTGCGTTGTAGCGGACTTCCGTTCTGGAATCAGGGACTGCGAGAATGGAGTTCGGAACGAGAAGGATTCGCTGTGAGATCAAACTGTCCCGCCACCAGTGTATCATGGAGAGCTGGAGAAATGGGAATACTGGTCGTGGCAACTGAAGCGCTACGACGTAGGACTGTACAAGCCACTGGCCAAGCTGCTAATGGACGATGTTGAAGGCTCCACCGAATGATATCTGACGACCTGTGCGCGCTCCTTGCCCACTCCGGCAGCGCCATGGAGCTTGAAGCCATTGGCGTGAAGACGGCGCAGTCCACAAGCACTCAGGAGAAGCCGACTGGCAAGGATGACGCGAAGACTCCAGGCAGCGGTGCCTCAAGTGCCAAGCGCAGGCGCCCCAAGATCGAAGACTGAGGCATTGTGCCAGCACATCGATGAGATCGATGTGGCAACAAGAAGCCCGAAGCAAAAAAAAAGCCCCGATTGGCTATGGCCACAGCCACGCTTTTGGTAGCAGAGTTCAATGTGTAGCAGACTCGCACACAGAATGACCAGCTGTCACTGTTCTCTAGGCAACTGGCTTGTTGGCACACATCACCGATGGTGCCGCGCGAGCGATTGTTCGCAATGAGGACACGGAGAACGGGTTTGCGATGTGGCGCAGATTGCACAACCAAGTCTCGCCGCCACAGAGAGCGAGCGACAAACTTGTTGAATGAGATCATTGCGTTTCGTCTGAGACACGACCACTTAGAGTCTTAGAGTGTGATCTGAGTGAGTTTATCATCTTGAAGAGTAAAGGTGAGAAGACGACTGCCAGGCCACTGGATGACGATCTCTTGGTAGCCTTGCTAATGCAGAAGACTGCTGGTCGGTTGCAGCAGCACGTGAGGTTGAATGCGATTCAACGAAACACTGGAAATCATATACATCTACATCAAGAGCAAACACCTGAATGCGCCGAGTGGTAGGACTGACGCCGCCTACCACGGACAAGCCGACATGGATACTGGAGCACTGAAGGTACAGGAAGGTACCAAAGGAAAGGAAAGAAAGGAAAGGATACAAGGGCAAAGGAATGTACAAAGGTCAAGGCAAAGGAAAGAGCAAAGGCTACAAAGGAAAAGGAATGAAAGGAAAAGGAAAACATGTTTTCTGTGTGGCGACCCAAGCCACTGGAGCAAAGAATGCGCTGAAGGAAAAAGTAAAATGCCAACGGCGACTGAAGATGAGAACCAGCAAGGAAACCGAAATGACTGGGATAATTGGGGTGATGAATGGAACCAATGTCTCATTATGACTGTACTTGGGATGAAGGTGAACGGAATCTCATGATCAAGAAAAACTGATTGGTCCGGTGACTGGTCTTGGTGCGAGGACGACTGGAGTTCGCGGCCTGAGGAGTGGTCCTGGAACACGCAGGACTGGTGGAACCCATGAACTGACGGAGCTCGACTGGTGCCGCGAGCTCAGGTTCGAATGCAGAACGCCACCAAGAATGAACCACCACGAACTGTTTCAGCTGCCTGTAGAACCGTTGGATCACAGTGTGCCCAGAGTTGCAAAGACTGTCCGGGGAGCAAAGCCTGGACTGATGACGAACTTGTTCGCTGGAGCGTGCTTGTTGATTTGCTGCATTGAGTTCCGGAGCGCCACCAATGCCGAACCCAAGTGTGCCAAACTTGACGCGAATGCCTCAGAATGATCCGATTGGCTTTGACGACAGCTGGTCGACAAGACATGGACACATGGGCACTGTGCGACAGAGGAGCTTGCACGAAGTGTTGTCCCGAGTGTTGTCCCGAACGCCCGAATGTTTTGCACCGGAATATTCGGTGTTACCGTTGAATGCAGGTGCACCTTCACTGCGGAGCTTGTCTGGAAAGACACTGGATTTGCAAGCTCGGGAGACGGTTCAACTTGACTGTGGCAATGGCCACTCGATGAGTGCGCCGTTTCCACTACTCAGTGTTGCACTGTTGCAAGATTTCTGGACTGTGATGGCGAAGGACTAACTTGCTGTGATTGACCAGACTGGCAATCCTGTGCCGGCTGTTCAACAAGGCACACTGGTGTATCTGACACCGACTGTTATTCCTTCTGCCGTGGCGAATGCAGCAAGACTGGCAGCGAATAGTCTACCGGAGGAGTTGCATGGAGTGTCGGACGTGCGTGACCCTTCGATTGACCACCTGTGCCAGATTGGAGCCTCGACATTGCCGCCGCTCAAGGAACGAAGGCTTGCGACGGTTATCGTTGGGACACATGGGAAGTGAATGAAGCTGAGTTGAAGTTGATTCTTCATGTGAATGTGTGGAGAAAGGACATGCTGGACCGGAGAATCAAACTGGCGAATAAAATGCCGGTGCCAGTGCCACGCCTGACTGATGAGAGAGTGACGCGCAAGAAGTACCGAGACGGGTCGACGGTTAACTACTGTCAGGGACGCGAATTTCCTGACACTGGCGAATACTAGGCCGCTTGATTGACGAGGACGAGTGGAGTTTGGACTGACGCACAAGCCCCAAAGGAGGCATGTGCAGAAAAATGCACCTCGTCCACATGATCCGCAGGTCGGCAGGCCGCCGCCTGAGCAGGCGAATGCTGATACTGTGGAAATGGAGCCGCAGACTGAATCTGCCTCCGGGCCAAGAGTGATGTTGAGCCTCAAGAGTTGGATCGCCAGGTGAGAGTGAGTCGCAATGTTGAGGAGCATGAGCTTGAGAATGCCTTGCGCTTCACTGCCTCGGCATGGTGAGAAAACGAAGGAGTTGTTGTTGCAACTGTTCAATCCCGAGGACCGAGGACTGCAGGTCAGCGGATTATCCTCCCTCGATACTGGATAAGAATGCACCATGAATAGCCCGACTGTCACTCTCATTTAGATTTAGATGATGCGAGTTCTCCTGTGGATGGACTGTTGAGTGATCACTCGTGGGGTGATAGGTACACAATGTTCTTCGACCCGAGTGACCCCGCAATGATAGATACTGGTCATCAAAGCGAATGGGCAGACATCGAGATGCCCAATTGATCAGTGAAGAAATGCGAGGATCCAAGGAGTCCCACTGAAGTCGAAAAGAAGACAGAGTCATGCACTAAACAAGAAGGAACGCCAGCCAGTGATCCAGATAATCTAGATTGAGTTTTCGTTCATGGCGACGGAGAATGACCAAGACTGCCTACAGTACAATCGCAGATGAAATCGCGATTACGGCGAAGCACTGTGCATTTTGGGCGAATTATTGATGCGAAAGTGTGAGTGGTAAGGCGCATGTTCCCATTCAAGGCTGGATCGCAACGCGGTTCACTTCAGCATACCTGGGAAGGGACACTGAAGCTGACGAAGTGATCAGCGAATTGAATGCAAGTGGTGTCTTCAAGGACTGTGAAGCGGAGAGCTCTCTGTCAATGGAATGCGTCGCGTGCCGTGAAAATGATCTCCACAGCTTGGCAGCCGCGCGGAGATGGAGTTGAGTCGACTGCGTTTTAATGCCACAAGATCTGGGAGTGAAGGGCAGAGTGAAGCCTCCTGACTGCTGGATTGGAAAGTGTTGAGGAGGGACCTGAAGAGAATGTCGAGATTGAAAACATGGCACTGGTCCGAGTGAAAGTGTCACTGAGCAACTTTTGCTGCAGGATGGCACAGATCAGGCTGTTGCCGCGACTGATCATGCGGCACCTGAGACTGCTGGTGAAGCGCCAACGAAGAGTGCCAGGATTGATCCGGATGTTCGGCGAGTGAGCCTTCTACCAAGCAAATGAAGACCGCTGCTATGCGTCACATGACTGCTGGAGTCATTCCTGCTGAGTCTCCGCCTGCAGCTGAGAAGAATGGGAGTGATGAAAGAGATGACCTCAATGCAGAAGTTTGAGGTGTATGGTGAAGTGAAGGCTGAGGACTGCACCCGGGAGCAGATTGATGAAGCTCTTGACTGCACTGAGGTGCAGAGTGGTTGTTCCTGGCTGTTTCCAGAACGTTCCAGTTTGCCTCAACGCCGTCGCCTGTGACAATACGACTGCTGCTGTGCCTGGCATTGGCAAGAAACTGGGGCACCACACTGGGTGATGTCAGCACTGCCTTCTTGCACGCAGCAAAGTCTGGTGAAGTGTTCATTCGGCGGCCGAAAGAATTCTATCCAGAAGGCAAATGCCTCTGGCGATTGAAGACGGCAATGCACGGACGTCGGCAAGCGACAGGACTGCGGCAAGAACAGCTCGCCGAAACAATGACGACGAAATTGGGATTCCGGACTGACATGAATCAGGTCGATTGTCTGTGCTTGCGTACGTCGATGACGCGTTGGTCGTAGGGACTGACGAAACGAGGAAATCGTTCATGTCTCAACTGTCTGAGGAAGTGCTGCTGAAGGAGACTGGCCAACTGGCGCCAGGAAGTGAGCACACTTTCCTTGGAAAACGACTGCGACACAATGGTGACCCGATTGACGTGTGTATGTCACAGGCACACATTGATACGAGTCTTGATTTGCGTGGAATGAAGAATGCCAAGCCTGCGGCGGTGCTGTGGCGACGACTGGAACCTCGACAATCACCAGGACTGTTCCTGACAGGCTGGGCCGTTATATACATCACGACCGTGGTCCAGATCGATCTCGCCGGCAGAAAGCTTCGAGCCCAGATTGGCTTGGCCGAGGCAATGGTCAAGAGAGAATGGGACGAGAATACGGCCACACTGTTGAGTGTGTTTTGTTGCCCGGCACACATGCAGGTGGAATGACTGCCTGTAGATTTGATCATCCTGATCAGTTCTCGAATGGTCCAATGAG